ACATACACACACACACACACGCACGCGCGCACGCACACACGCACACACACACACACACACACACACACACACACACACACACACACACACACACACACACACACATACACACACACACACGCGCACACACACACACACATACAACACACACACATATGTATATATATACACGGCGTGACTGCCATGATGGACCAGTGGTTAGAGCACTGGATTCCGACCCTAATGATCCCATGTTCAATTCCCTGTTACGGCCGTCATAAAAATACTGACTGCTCGCTCGAGCGCGAACTCACGGTGAGAAAACGACATATCGACTTGGGAAATCAAATGCAGGTAACGTAGGGGAAGTCGCCGCCATGGCACAGCTGTTAAGCGCACCGATATGTCGTTTTCTCGGCCTCGAGCGAGCAGTCAGAGCGCAGGTATTTTTTACGACTGCCGCGACGGGGAATTGAACCCGGAGTCCAGTGCTCTAACCACTAAGCTATCGCGGCAGTCATATATATATATATATATATATATATATATATATATATATATATATATATATATATATATATATATATATATATATATTTCTTTACAGCCATTCATTCCACTGCAGGACATTGGCCTCTCTCAATTCACTGTTGAGAGGTTATATGGCAGTGTCACCCTTGCCTGATTGGATGCACCTCCTGATCAACCGCGGAGATACCTGAAACCAGTTACTTCAGGGATATCTTGTGGCTGACCGAGCACAGCTGGGTCTGAGGCAAAGTTTGTGACTGGAGTCATGGAAAACGAAGCATTAGCAGGACCACTGGGTTTGGCATCATTCCGTCTGGCTTTGAGGATCCTTCGAGATCCACTTTCAGATGATGCCACAGGGCTGATCACAGAGATACCTGAAACACTGCTGATATCAGAGTCTCCAGTCTCAGAGATATCGTGTGGCTGGCCGAACACAGCTGGATCTGAGGCAGTATCTCTGACTTCAGTGTCAAAGACACTGCTGGCATCTGTAACTTCACTGTCTGAGACACTTTTGACTTTGATGTTAGAAACAGTGTTGCTGTCAGAGACTTAAGTTCCACAAAATGCTGGTGATATCAGCGATTTCAGTGTCGGAGACTTCTGTATCACAACTATTGACTTTAGTGTTAGAGATATTGTGTGGCTGACCGAATGGAGCTGGGTCAGAGGCAAAGTTTGTGAATGGAGTCATGGAAAACGAAGTACCATTGGGTTTCGTCACTCTCCGTTTGGCTTTAACGATCCTTCGAGGCCCACCTTCAGATGATGGAACAGGGCAGCCGTTCACAGAGATGCCTGAAACTTCATTTTCTTCAGGGATATCGTTTGGCTGGCCGAACGGAGCTGGGTCAGAGGCAAAGTTTACGATTGGAGTAATGGAAAACGAAGTGCCGTTGGGTTTTGTCACTCTTTGTTTGGCTTTAACGATCCTTCGAGGCCAACCTTCAGATGGCGGAACAGGGCCGCTCACAGAGATACCTGAAACTTCAGTTTCTTCAGGGATATCATGTGGCTGACTGAGCTCAGCTGGGTCTGAGGCAGTATCTCTGACTTCAGTGTCAGAGACACTGCTGGCATCTGTAACTTCACTGTCCGAGACAATCTTGACTTTGATGTTAGAAACAGTGTTGCTGTCAGAGACTTCAGTGCCACAAATACTGCTATTACCACAGACTTCACTGTCTGAGACACTCTTGACATCTAAGACTTCCATATTAGAGACAGGGTTGCTGTCAGAGACTTCAGTGTCACAACTACTGGTGATGTCAGAGACTTCAGTGTCAGAAATATCGTGTGGCTGACTGAGCACAGCTGGGTCTGAGGCAGTATCTCTGACTTCAGTGTCAGAGACACTGTTGGCATCTGTAATTTCACTGTCCGAGACAATCTTGACATCTAAGCCTTCGATGTTAGAGACACTGTTGATGTCAGAAACTTCATTGCCACAAATACTGCTGATATTACAGACTTCAGTGTTGATATTTGTGACTTCTAAGCCTTCGATGTTAGAGACTTCAATGTCCGAAACAGTGCTGATGTCAGAGAGGTCAGTGCCAGAAATACTGCTGATATGACAGACTTCAGTGTCAGAGATACTGCTGATATCTGAAACTTCATTGTCCGAGACGTCCTCAACATCCGAGACTTCACTGTCAGAGCCACTGCTGTCCGCGTCGGCATTATTGTCAGAGATGTCAGAGGAGTCTCCAGAGGTGTCTTTCTTACAAGAGATCCTATACCTCCTTGGCCAGAAGGTATACCAGAGGCAACCAATCACTGCTGTCACTAGAAGAAGAACTAGCCATGCTGTGGAAATAGTTATCTTGATCGATCGCGCTAGGCGACTGTGTAACTCATTCAATTCCTGGACACGTTCCTACTTCTCACACATCTCTTGCTAGATATCAGCCGGACGCAACAGGCAGCGGCAGAAATATGTGAGTAGGCCTACTGTCTCTACCTCTTCTGGAAGTGATCCGAACAT